AATCCATCAATAGATCATGAGATACAAATTAAAATATTTTGTTTGGTTTAATAATTGCCTTAAAATAGCTTCAAATTCTTATATACAATAATAATTAAGATGGCCAGAAGAAATATCAATTGTTATTAATATTAGCCATCTGGGCCCGCCAAATGGAAGACACTAGATCTTAAACACAAAAATACTGGTTACATACAATTGGGCACTGTCCGGAGAGATGTACAATAAATTATTACCCTATCGAGACTAATGTTGTATATCTTGATGGAAATTTAGGACACCATTTTGAAGGAGGTGACCAGTTGGGAGTGCTGGCAAAAATTGGATGACGAAAAAAATTGTGTTGCAGTTATTGTTGCTGACTACCAGACTGTGCTAGACCTAGAATAAACAAATCTGCTGGATTCTCAAACCAGTCACCTTTGTTAACAATGATGAGATAATATATTACTACTTAAATCTCGAACTATCAAGTAACTACATTTGTCTACTGAAAAAGATGGATCACATAGTGAAGAAGTAAATTAATGTCTTGTGGAAATCTTTTGACAAAGGATCTCTTAATTCAACATCTCTGATTTTTAGAGAAAAGGCCTTCAGTTTTCGACACAAAATATAATTTTCTTCTACATTCGTGAAAGTCAAAAACCTTTTGTTAATAAGTAACTTTAAGATTCTCTGGCAGACAGCCCTAAAAATTGAAAACCCCCACAAATTAATATTTATTTCACAAAAACAATATCAAAATACCTAGAAACAATGAAATGCATCTTTTCATTTTCACAACTCTGTTGATAGTGAAGATATCTTAAAAAAATAACTTTGATTGAGAAATATTTGTTCAATTTCTTTCTTTCAAAGTAACTCACTCTACAAAGCCATTATGGTGTTTGGACACTTGAATGATCAGTGTGTTTAATGCATTTCCTATTTCAAAGTCATCATATTAAATTTTGGTGCTGAATAAAATTTTGATCACCAAGTATATCACAAAATACTTCTATCAAAAACAGCCCTTGCTGAAAACTAGTTAATGTAAACATTCAATGATAACAAAGAAAACTACAACTGGATGGAAGTTTTGAGCACATCTTTTCAAGTTTTTCTTTTGCAAATATAATCTATGTACAAATTGTTATTCTTTATTTTAAAATGGCGAAAACTAAAGGCTAAATGAAATGCATACACATCTACCACCAATGTACTGAAGAAATTTTAAATTACACTACAAACAAGACTCTTAAATATATGGAAGTTTGTTTAATTAACTTAAACTATATTTACACCTTCACCTATGAAACAAAGAGCAAAATCACATGTGCATTTACTTATTGCTCACACACAGCACCCTGGTCAAACCTATAGTATGCCATTTGACAAATGCCATACAAATGGACTAATGCAGCCCCTAATACAAGCACATGGAAAATTTGATGACTCTGAAACTGAAAGGAAAAAAAGAGTTCATTAGAAAACTAGTACTAACTGATTCCTGTACTGAAATGGTTGTGTCAAGGCTAACAAAATGAAGTTTGTAGGGTTGCATTTATAACCAAATAATTATGTGGTCATTACATTTCAAAGCTTAAACAGACACAGCAATCTAAAAGTTTCACAAGGTAACCACAATACTCAAACCTCAGGTGAACTCTTACTGTTGCTGTATGGAATCTGTTAAAATTCAGTGTCCATAACTTGGTAAAATGGAGATACTTTCATTCAAAATACAGTGAGAGGGACCTTGGTCAATCATTTAACAGAGCTATTGTAATCAGTTCCAATTAGTTCCAAGCTGTATATTTACATGAGATTTGAAACCCAATAAGGTGGATTATTGAAATTCTTAAATTTGGTGTGTTTTTAAGTGCACGCCCAACCATGACATTGTCTCTTTGAGAGGAACGTTGAAGGATTTTTGTGTCTTTGATTCATGCACTTGTAGAGTGTTCTGGAACCACTGAAACACTGGTTGAAAATCTTTTTAAAGATAGAATTGTATGTTAAAACTCTTACCCAAATGTCACACTTTCCAGGAAAAAACCTCTCAGGAACTCTAGTGGCATACATAATAGCACCAATTATGTACAGGACACCCATAAGAGCCATCCATCCAATGGATGCCTGACGATGAGCTAGAGTGACCCCATACGCTACTATAAAATGAATAGCGGGCACAATACCAGAACATCCAAATGTAAGGAAAAGACCTGAAAGAAAAAAAAAAAAAAAACAGCTTAAGATGAAGCAGTTGTTAACTCAATCCTAGGATTGCCACACAACTTTGTGTCATTTGTCCTGACAATTTTCCCCTACCCAACTATATTCCTTAACAGTCAAAAGCTGTTAGACACACCTGACCAGTTCAGCAGTGCATCAGTGACAGTCTTACCGACTTACTCTGGTTGAATTAAAGTCAGGCTAAAATGATGTCAACATGTACTGAAGGGTGCTTTATCTGATTTCTGAAGGTTCAAGATTCAAATCCTTCACTCTGCCGATCAAGTGAATTTGTTTTTGGTGAGTAAGGCCTTTGAACCCCACTGCGAAAAAAATTGCAGAGTGCTTTGCCTCTAGTAAAGGAATGTTTAAAAATTTACTCAAAATAGGGTTTACTCACTCTAGTTATCCCTTACAGACTGGTTTTTAAAAGATGTGATGCCTACAAAAAATAAGTAATCACCTGCTCGAAGACCTCTGTATTTTGGTGTGCTGAACTTGCTCCACAAAGACACAATTATGCATAAGATTCCCAATGTAAGGATCAGGGACATGTAGATAATCTTCAGAATTCTTGAGCAGTAGAACCCATAATAAAGTGGAGGAATGAATGAACCCATGATCAACAAAGCTATTCCTGAATAGTCAAGCCTTACAAAAAAAGAAAAAAAAAAAAATCAACAGTTAGTCAAGCTAAGTGAGCAGTATTGCTCATTAGGAATTTTATAATGATCTATCATCTCTGTTTAAGACAGAGCTGAAGGAAACAAAGCCAGGATTAGCTACAGGTATAAATTGGTTTTGAACAATCAATCCAAGAATGAGAAAAATTCAAATCAATATATTCCACCCCAACCTGTTTATCAAACATACTATTAGACCCTTGTGAAGACCACCATGCTACTAATAGACAAATGATACACCCCAGGGGTTTTCATGAAAGAGGAAAAGGAGCTGACAACAAAACAGCTTTATCAAAGCAACTTTACCTACTAAAGCTCCAGTTTTGCAGACAAAATGTTAAATGAAGGTCAGACCCATTCTACTCTTATCCTTTGTGGACAAATTACTACTTAATAATTTGGATATATCAACAAAGTGGAAATGGTAAATTGGCCACCGTAACGATTACAAAAGCTGACGTTTCGAGCGTTAGCCCTTCGTCGGAGCGAATAGAGCAATTGTGGGTTGTGTGTACAACGAAAGCTTTTCATTCCACTAATTTATTCATGTTTTTCTCGTTGCCATGTTCCCACCAATGACGTAGCTCCATTTTCTGCCTTTAAAAGCACACACAACCCACAATTCCTCTATTCGCTCCGACGAAGGGCTAACGCTCGAAACGTCAGCTTTTGTAATCGTTACGGTGGCCAATTTACCATTTCAACTTTGTTGATATATCCAAATTATTTCGTTACNGAAATTATGGATTCAAAAGCATCTGTTACCAGTAGATGCAACTTGTTTACAATATCTTTTTAAATCAGATTACCTGCTAAATATCTTGGAAACTGTGATAGAATGACAGTACACTGTGTGGAATATCCATGAGAACCCTAGACACAAGATTGCACCTGTGAAGAATGCCCCAAACACTAGCTTCTCTTGCCAGTCTTTTGGGAATGGATTGGTGCTGGTGATGGGTCGAAGAAACATGTAGAATGTGATACAAATAAATGCAACAAAACCAATCAAATGGGTCCAAATATTTCCAGTTTCACTGTGAACTTTAAAGATGCTCTTAAAGCAAGATCTGAATGATGGCATTGGTGGTCGGTGATGATGTGAGAGAAAGTCATTGTCACGCAGCCATTCTGGAAGTTCAATGTGTGCAAGAAGATACCACCCTGAGCGAGCCAACTCAATTGCCTTCTTTGAGATCCTCTCTGCTTTATCAGCAGCTTCATGCATGCTTTCTTGAACATTGTCCTTTGCAGTTTTCAGTATCTCTTGAACTCTTTCAGCAGCATCAGACATATTATCTTTTGTGGACTTTATCATCACATGCACTTTCTCAGCTGCTTCGTGCATATTATCATGCATTTTCTCAGCTGCGTCATGCACGTTTCCTTTTATCCTGACTGCTGTATCCTGTACATTTCCTTTAACAGTCTGGAACATAACATGTAAATTTTCCTCTCCCTTGACAATGAACACCTGAAAATGTGTATAAAAAAATTCTGTTATCAATGACACAATCCCCTTAAATTTCTTTAGCAGGTAGAGTAAAACTCATGAAAAACCTCCTTGAATAAAAAACCTTAACTAACTTGAGACAAAACCATCTACTGAGTAAATATGTAAACTTGGGCATAAGAGCTTCAATTAATTTGCTCACTACAATTTCAACAACAACAACAAAAAAAACAGTGAAGACAAATAAGAATAATTGATTTAAAGACTGTCACATCTACCAAATTCTATTATGTATATATGACAAAAAAAGGGAATGGTTGATGAACAAACCAGTTATGATGGGTTTTGCCATCATGTGATCAGAGAATAACTGCTTTCACAAAAAATAATTTTTTTTTTCGATGATAATGGTAAGTTAATTGAGACTTTGGATTTGCCCAAGCAAAAGTGCAGAACAGAACTGGTACATGCAGTATCTTCTTGAAGAGCTTCTCTTTCTGTTCCAGAAACACCAAATGTATAGCATATACAAGAATAACCAAGCAAGCATAGTTTGCATAGAGATGCTACCAGCTAATAATTAATTAATTAACTGTAATTTGCATTATTTTTAGCTTCTCTTCAAACATAGCAGGTATTGAAAATGCCAAGGGTTATTGAATTTCAGGAAAAGCCCCTCAAACAGCTCATACTTGAAGGAACAAAAGCTCCCTTTTGCCCAAGTATTAACTGCAAAGAGAAAACCAAAAATTGCAAAATTTGTGAAGAGCTTGATCTTGGGTTATAGCATAAAATCTCCTGACAAGATTTTTCTTCAATGGATACCAAAGGGTCCTCATGAATAATAAAAAGGATCTCCATAGGTGTTGAGTTACACAATCTGTACCATGTTTATGCTTGGCAAAATTATTTATAGGTTAAACTTACAGAAATGCTGCTGTGTTTAAAACTCTCAAGTATTGTGGTTCTTATTAAACTGGATATCACTGTAATTGTTCATGCTTTGTCTTAAGCTGAGGAGAAGTTTTGGTCAAACACAATGGCTCTGTTTTCTTTCAACTGCAATTAATTAATTCAAGTTCTAGGGTACAATTGTTTCATAGCTGAAATATTCTGTAATGCTTTCCTAGCCTTCATTTCAGACATCTCCCTATTGTTATTGGCTGGAAAAAATTCTTTATTGCTACAGTATCCACTGTGATTTTCAGTTGAAAAAAGTGGCACTTGTTTGGTTGTTGAGTACCTTATCTCTGTCATCTGACCTGAATTTTGCCCATCATACTTCACACTTAGCAGGGATTGAGATACTTTTTATCCTATTTTCATTTCAAGTGGAGCTTGGGAGGGGAGTTAATTGAAACTTTGGTTGATCAGTCACATTCTGAAAATTTTATAAAAAATAACATTTTTTCACACTCACATCTTTTACATCAATGTAACTATGTATTTTCCCAACCTATAATTCACATCCCTTTCTGCTAGTTGATTTGGGGAACCACAAGTATCAACTATACCTCAAGGGAACTTACTGAAATGAGTTTAGTAAATAACTGCTTAAAAAAAATGCAGGGTGGAAGTAGAACATATGACTCATTATCACTTTCTAACAAACAGCTAGAAATTTGAAGTGTTTTGGGCTGGCCTCACCCTGTACAAAATCTTTTAGTTCAAGCTACCCTCACAGAAGGAAACGGCTTCCACTGTGATGACCAAAGAGGGTTAGCTGGTAGAATATCTCCTCTTAAGATAGGTTAATATCATCAAAAAGAAATCGGCATAATTTATTTGAAGGTTGATTACATTAAAACTAACCCGTACGAGTGAAATGCTTAACAGTTGTTAGCCTGCTCAGTAAAATTTAGTCATTTGAAAGCAAGTTCTGGTAACCAATTATTTCAGTCGTGCTACTCTACTGCACAACAAGAACCTTCGACACCGCACGAGGCTTTTTGCCGGAAAATAATTAAAGCTCTCGTGTTACTGCCGGTCATCCCCAACAACTCACGACTCATTTAAAAATTGGGAGAAGAGGGAAAAAGAGGCTGCCGCGCTGAAATTTGGCACAATAGTTTAGATTGTCAGATATTTTTGCATGAAGTTGAATACTTGCTGTATACTTTTGACCGGCGAAAATATAAATTTTTCATGAAAAAGGAGTTCGAAGACGCCGAGCTCGTGGTTCTTTCTAAGCAACTCAGTTCACTTTTAACTCACAATTTCGTTGGTCAGAAAAAAATCTCCCATACTGTTACATGTTGTACCGCCTGAAATGTTACATTGTAATATTTCGCGAAAGTTTGCGTCATTTAGAGACAATCTGTTCATCAGCTGTACTTCTTTTGTGTTACGTAAAGTGATTTCAAAATGGCTAAAACACGAGGCGCAACACTAATCCCTTGAGAAAGTTCAGTTAACACAGTAAATCGATGCTTAATTTTTTAAAGAAAAAAAAAGAAAGGAATTACCTTTGCTTGTTCTAGACCAAGGAGGGAACATGTGACAGTCTCGTCTTCAATGTTATCGTCGTCATCTTCTTCTTTGTCGTCCTCCCCATCCACTTCCGCGCTAACGTCGTCGCGTGTTGCCTCGCTTTTTTCAATCAACGTTACTTTCTCTGGGTCCTCTTCATCAAAAGTATCGGCTTCTTCACTGCTTACACTCTCTTTTTCATTTTCGGTCCCCTTACTTTCGACTGTTACGTCGACACTGGCTAATTCTAATGACGTTTTGTCTGCCGTTTGGGATTCTAATGTTAGCAAGCTTTCGTCTTCTCCGAGTCCTTCTGTTTTTTCTACCACCTCATCAGTAGTTTCAGTAATTTCGCTCATAATGCCACTATTTTCGTCGTACTCCTTGTCTACGAATTTGACTTCACTCATGTTTGGTCGTCTTCGTCGTAGCTCAGCCATCTAACGCACTCCACAGAAGATCAAGAACAACGGTGAAGTGTTTATATACGTAGTAGATCACGTTATAAAATTAATTACCGGGAAGTCTTGGGGCAATATTCAATGCAAATTAGGGTTAAATTCCCGCGAAGTTCAAAGAGCTTCTCGACAAGAATACTTTTCTCCCAAAAACCTCTTTCACTTTGTTACGTAAGAAATTGGGATGAGTTTCCTCTGATCCTTCGCTGTAATGCTCGCTGCTCCTGAATTGAAGAGGCAATGACAAATTTCGTAGCATTTTATAACCTGACTGTGTCACTGTGGCCTGATCTCTATCGGCCAATCAAATAACGGCTTATAAATAGGAACCTTGACCGCGCTCTGATCCGTTCGTCGTTTGTCCAATCAGAGCACTTGAAATAATTCAGGTGAGGCAGCTATATTATGGTGCAAAGTCCGAGCTTTAAATTAAGTATTGAATTACAAGTAAACAAAACAAGTCGTACGAGTTAACAAACTATTTGGTAATTTGGTTGTATCAACTAAGTTGAGATTGTAAATTGACCACCGTAGCGAATAAAAAAGCTGACGTTTCGAGCGTTAGCCCTTCGTCAGAGCGTCTTTCGCTCTGACGAAGGGCTAACGCTCGAAACGTCAGCTTTTTAACTCTTTACGGTGGCCAATTTACAATTTCAACTTAGTTGATATTCCAAATTACCTTATTACCCCCACTGACGCAGCACCACAGTTTCTTTAGAAAGTTTCAGCCTTCTAATAAATTATTTGACTTTCTGAATTTTCACCAATTCAATGTTTTAATTTAAATGGTTACATCGAAATCATTAGTCATCCACAAGGGCGACTTACAAAATAATGATAAAAAACAAAAAAAACAAACACAATTCACTTGGAGGAATGATATTATCCGGCAACTGAAATTATTATTGGCCAACATAAACTCAAAATTTTCGATTGGACTACCAAGCACAGATGGTGAACTGGTGGATTCTAAAGTGTAAACTATCCGGATCTTAATTAAAAAAAATCCAGAACATCAATACTGTACAACTCAGAAACCAACAAAGACTTTGATTTGAGTTTGGCATATCAAGGTTTCAAAAGTTTGAACAGTATGCGCAAAAAAAAAAAACAAAAAACTGCAAGAACTACAATTGTTTTATTTGCGCCTCACATAAGTTGGCTCCTTATGAAGTAGCAGGAATTTGTGGGGCTCAGCTCTCCAGTTTACACATTTTAACATAAATATCTCTGTACAACACTGTACTGTTTTTAGAAAATTGTATGAATATGGACATACTAATGTACTTAAGAAGTACTGAAAGCACTGCCTTGCTGGGTTGCACACATCATGTGAGCAATATAGGAAAGTAACTCATGGGGTATTCCCCTTGGCTGCAAGTGCTTAAGGTTGGATTGAGGCAAGATGGACCTAACAATTAATTCTCATGAAGATCTTCATTTATTAACTGATTTCTTTTAGTTTTAATAATTTTAAGCGACATTCTTATTAGAATTCAACATTTGGTCTTGTACAATTCTGTTATCCATCGTGTTATCCATCTTGGTCAATCATTTGCGTAATAATTATTACGATCGCGTGACATTCACGTGTGGTTCGTTTTGTCGAAATATTTTCTACAAATTAATCATTAGCCAGAGTCAATAATACAAAACCCTCTTGGCATCTGAGAAGATCTATCCTCTGCTATCATAGCCTCAAATAGTTTCTCTGCCTTTACCCAACCAACTGGATGGCTCGGCCACACATCCATCAGCAAAAACATGTCTTCCCCATAGTGATAGCCACCTAACGGGCTGAAATGCCCCATATTCACCGCTGGGAAGAACGTCAGAAAATGATAATTCACAACAACATGTGTTCCTGGTTTTTTTAAGTTTTCTAGAACCAAGGATCGAAATTCATCCACTGAAAAAGTCCCCGGACACTGTGTCATCGTTGAATATTGGTTGCAGGTTGAATCGTAGGCGTAGTAAAATCTACCACGAAGACCGATACTGCTAAAGAGTTTTGCGAACATTGCGAGGGTAATTCCATCTTTTAAAACGTAATCTCTCCTAAAAATTGATCTTTCCAGTCCAATCGCAAAAATATCATCTTCTTCCAAAGTTTCTTTGTTGTGCTTTTGTAAAGAAAGTTCAGAAATGTCGGGGTGAAGACTTGCTGCAGGTTGTCGCTTGTCAAGAATTTCATTGAGACAAATTGCTGCACTACAAAAACCACAGAACTTAAAATTTACCTGGTTACGGAAATAAGGAAGCAGATGGCTAAAATGACTGTCTTTCAGTAGCTTTTGGCCCTCGTCACTCTCTAAAGGAAGAATGAATGGCGAAGACTTCGAGACCGCCATGATATGAAAGCTTTCAATCACTGGGGAGCCACTAGTGGGGCTTGGAAGGGGCTGATGAAGAACTCATCGGGGTGGGCGTCGAGAATGGAGTAACGTTGTTCTTCTTCTTTCTTAGCCGTTCATGTCAAACATTATGTGAAAAAAATAAAATTTTTTTAAACATTTGTATTAAAATCTGATGTTTATTGTTCATCCTATGGATTTGCCTAGAAAAATACGTTCTACCACATTACCCACCATACCCTACTTAGGTTTGGATACATAACAACCTAGACACGCTGAGAGCAGAAGGTTTGTAACTCTTGGTCGAGATGCGGAAAGTATTCCGATTATCTCGCGCTGCAGTTATGTTTTGTTTTTCATAACTAAGTGGAATGTTATTTATTTGCTGGACGCCTTAAATGCCCCAAAGCCTTCGTCAAGAAGGTAGGGCAAACAATGTTTTTCACTTTTCACCATGAAATCGTCGAAATATGTGAAATCTCATGAAACAAATTCTCATGGAAGCCATGGAGACACGATCACAGCGACGAAATTGGTAAGAATTAACCCTCTTTTGTTAACAGAGAAAGAATGGCGCTTGAAAATGTAATTAACTGACCTCTTGATGGTTACCCATCTTCTTCTAAAGGGTTTAGGAGATCATTTGAGCGTAGTGTAAAAAGACGCTTCTAATGTTCACTTTCAAAGTTAATGAAGCTTACAGCCGAAGTAATTGAATCACTGCTTTGTTCTCACCAGGATTAAAACCGCATCATAAACGATTCTTTAAATTCCTTTCGTCTCGATACAGAAGAAGCTGCTTTTCGTCTCAGAAATCTGGAATGTAGGAATGTTTTTGTAATGAAGGTTTTTTTTTGTGATGGTGTTTTTATCAAAGTAATAAGTTAAAGGAACTTAATCATGGCATTTAAATTACCCGATAGGTTTTTAATTGTTCTAAAAAATGCTTTGCAAAAGCATATCAAGTAAAGCTTGCGAAATTAAGAGAGTTCTTATTTGTCATGTAAAAACATGATCTGTACAATGATAAAAAAATCTCCTTACCCGGTAAATATATTGAATGTTTGAATGTATTCGATTTGACTCAGTGACTTTGGTTGGGGCACCGGCTCTATCTTTTCCTCTGTTTACCAAGCGACAACATGAGAACTTAATAACCTAAAAAGATCTGTTTGGAAAGCAAATATATCAGCAATAAGCCAAGGAATGGTTAGTTTAAACCCTGTGATAGACCTAACAAATTGTGATCCTGGTATTGTGTTAGCCTCAGAAAAGTTGTAATCTGATCTTGAAATCTTTCAAGTGTTTGGGATTAGCTACCATGAGCTGCATTTTTGTTTGTGTTCTTTGTAGATTTTATGCCCTTTATCTTTTTCTGAGTCACATTTTGTAATTTACCCTCTTCTTGTCTTAATGGTATGGTTTAGTGTATTAGGCACTGGTTTGATCTCTCTGTGCAG